ATGCACCGCCGGGCCCTGCTGCACCCAGACGGAGACCACTTCACCCTCATCAACATCTTCAATGCCTTCCAGCAGCGTGAGTGCGGCGCCGGGGTGTCCTCAGCTCCCCCCCTCTGTGTCCCTGGCTCACCCTTGTATCCTGAGTCCCCTGCTCCTTCTGCGACCAAGCCCTGCAGCCACATTCGTGACCCCTCCAGTGCCCACCCTAGCTGCGGGAGGGTCCCAGCCTAGGGCCCTCCTCTCTGCTTGGTCACTGTCCCCTCTGCGTTGAGGGGATGCAGCCTGTGGGAGCTGCAGTTCCTGGCTTCATGGCCCAGGACCACCCAGCCCAGCCAGGCCACCCGCTGGGGTCTCTTCTTGCCCAGCCATGTCCTCAGGGTGCTGAACCTGTCCCCCCGGTGCTGTCCTCGCTGCCCCGGTTGGTGCTGTCCCCACGGTGCTGTCCTCACTGTCCCCATTGGTGCTGTCCCCATGGTGCTGTCCTCACTGGCCCCATTGGTGCTGTCCCCATGGTGCTGTCCTCGCTGCCCCCATTGGTGCTGTCCCCATGGTGCTGTCCTCGCTGCCCCCATTGGTGCTCTCCCCACAGTGCTGTCCTCACTGCCCCCATTGGTGCTGTCTTCATGGTGCTGTCCTCGCTGTCCCCGTGGTGCTGTCCTCACTGTCCCCATGGTGCTGTCCCCATGGTGCTGTCCTCGTCGTCCCCGTGGTGCTGTCCTCACTGTCCCCACGGTGCTGTCCCGCAGATGAGGCGGATGAGGGCTGGTGCCGCAAGCACGCGGTGAATGCGGCTGCGCTGCGGCTGGCCGGCACCGTGCGCGCGGAGCTGCTGGAGGTGATGCAGCGCATCGAGCTGCCCGTGTCCCCTCCTGCTTTTGGCACCCACGCCAATGTGTGCAACATCCAGAGAGCCCTCATCTCCGGATACTTCCTCAAGGTGGGACAGGGGCTGTGGGGTCCGGCTGCGGGACGGGGAGGGTCATTCCATCCCCGCTCCCATCCCATGCGCTCCACAGGTAGCCCGGGACATCGACGGCTCCGGCAACTATGTGATGCTGACGCACAAGCACGTGGCCCACTTGCCCCCCGCCTGCTGCTACCTGCTGCGGCAGCACCCCCGGCGCCTGCCCCCGTGGGTGCTGTACCACGAGTTCACCATCTCGCAGGACAACTGCCTGCGCGTGGTCTCGGAGATCCAGCCCCAAATGTGAGCACCGGGGGATGAGGGCCTGGCCCCGGAGCGCAGCGGAGCGCTGGGAACCCCCGGGTCACTCCCTGTCCCTGTCCCGCAGGCTGGTGGCGCTGGCACCGCAATACTACCTGAGCAACCTCCCGCCCAGCGAGAGCCGCGACCTGCTCATGGCGCTGCGTGAGGAGGTGGCGGCTGGGGAGGACGCGTCGACGGTGCCCACAGCGCTGGGAGCAGCGCCCGGCGGCGGGGATGAGGATGAGGATGAGGACAAGGAGGTGTGTGTGCTGCAGTGAGCCGCAGCCGCCGGAGCCCCGCGTCGGGGCTGCCTGCGCTTGGCCGAGACCCCGGGGAGCGGGGAGCTCCCGGCGGGGGGGAAGCCGCGGTGCTGACCCCATCCATCACCGGGAGGCACGGGCCGGGCTGCGGCTTCCGCAGCAGCACCGCGGGCACCGGGACCGGCCCCGGGACAGAGCCCAGGCCGGGGAGCGCCGGCCCCGAGGAGTCGCGCAGGGAACCCCCCGCTCCATCAGCCCGCGTTCTCCGGGGGCTGCCGTGGGGCTGAGGCCGTCCCGTGCCCCCCGTGCCGGGGGAGCAGCGCCAGGGGCCGCTCGTGGATCTCTCCTGTATAAAGTTCTGCGACCTTTGCTGCCGGCCTCGTGTCCATCCCCGCCGCCCGCGCCGGGGCTTTCTGCCCGTGCGGCGCCCGCGCCCTGCGCCCGCCGCCTCCGCCGCGGCCGCTGACTCGCCGAGGGCAGCCCTGGCCTTTGCCCCGGGGCTTCCCCGCCGCAGGCGAGGCTCTTCTGCAGAAACGGAGGGGAAGCTGCGGCCGCGGGTGGGTGGGAGCGGGAGGTGCCCCCTGTGCCTGCATCCGGTGAGCGCAGCCAGTGGCTGCATCCAGTGTGAGCATCCAGCATGTGCAGCCAGTGACTGCATCCAGTGTGAGCATCCAGCGTGTGCATCCAGCGTGTGCAGCCAGTGACTGCAGCCAGTGTGAGCATCCAGCGTGTGCAGCCAGTGACTGCAGCCAGTGTGAGCATCCAGCGTGTGCATCCAGCGTGTGCAGCCAGTGACTGCAGCCAGTGTGAGCATCCAGCGTGTGCAGCCAGTGACTGCAGCCAGTGTGAGCATCCAGTGTGTGCAGCCAGTGACTGCAGCCAGTGTGAGCATCCAGCGTGTGCAGCCAGTGACTGCAGCCAGTGACTGCATCCAGCGTGAGCATCCAGCATGTGCAGCCAGTGACTGCATCCAGTGTGAGCAGCCAGTGTGTGCAGCCAGTGTGAGCATCCAGTGTGAGCATCCAGCATGTGCAGCCAGTGGCTGCATCCAGTGTGAGCATCCAGCATGTGCAGCCAGTGACTGCATCCAGTGTGAGCATCCAGCATGTGCAGCCAGTGACTGCATCCAGTGTGAGCATCCAGCGTGTGCAGCCAGTGACTGCAGCCAGTGTGAGCATCCAGCATGTGCAGCCAGTGACTGCAGCCAGCGTGAGCACCCAGCGTGTGCAGCCAGTGACTGCAGCCAGCGTGAGCATCCAGCATGTGCAGCCAGTGACTGCAGCCAGCGTGAGCATCCAGCATGTGCAGCCAGTGACTGCATCCAGTGTGAGCATCCAGCGTGTGCAGCCAGTGACTGCAGCCAGTGTGAGCATCCAGCGTGTGCACCCCGTGACTACATCCAGCATGTGCAGCCAGTGACTGCATCCAGTGTGAGCATCCAGCGTGTGCAGCCAGTGACTGCATCCAGTGTGAGCATCCAGCGTGTGCAGCCAGTGACTGCATCCAGTGTAAGCATCCAGCGTGTGCAGCCAGTGACTGCATCCAGCGTGAGCATCCAGCGACTGCATCCAGCGTGTGCAGCCAGTGACTGCAGCCAGTGTGAGCATCCAGCGTGTGCACCCCGTGACTACATCCAGCATGTGCAGCCAGTGACTGCATCCAGTGTGAGCACCCAGTGACTGCACCCAATGTGTGTATCCAGTATGAGCATCCAACGTGTGCACCCAGTGTGTACATCCAGTGTGAGCATCCAGCTCCTGCTCCCTGGGATCAGTTGAGGGTGCTCCACCACAGCGAGGAGCCCACGTCACTCCCGAGGTCCCCTTCAGCTTTCCAGCAGTCATAGAATCATTGAATTGGACTGGCTCGTGTTGAAGGGACCTTAAAGCTCCTCCAGCCCCAACCCCTGCCATGGGCAGGGACCCCTTCCACTGGAGCAGCTTGCTTCAAGCCCCTGTGTCCAACCTGGCCTTGAGCACTACCAGGGTTGGGGCAACCACAGCTTCTCTGGGCACCCTGTGCCAGCGCCTCAGCACCCTCACAGGGAAGAGCTTCTGCCTAAGAGCTCATCTCAGTCTCCCCTTTGGTAGGTTAAAGCCATTCCCCTTGGCCTGTCCCTACAGGCCCTTGTCCCAAGCCCCTCTCCAGCTTTCCTGCAGCCCCTTTAGACACTGGAGCTGCTCTGAGGTCTCCCCTTCAGCAGCCTTCTCTTCTCCAGGCTCTCTCAGCCTGGCTCCAGGGCAGGGCTGCTCCAGCCCTCACAGCAGCTCCGCAGCTTCCTCTGCACTCACTCCACCAGCTCCACGTCCCTCTTGTGCCTGGATCAGGACTGCAGGGGGGGTCTCCCCATCCCACAGCAGAAGGGCAGGATCCCCTCCCTGAGCTGCTGCTCATGCTCTGGGGGTGCACCCAGCACACGGGGGGGTTCTGGGCTCAAACACTCACTAAAGCCAGGTCATGGGGAGCTCCTCCTCACCCAGGTCCTTCTCTTCAGGCTGCTCCATCCCTTCTCCCCCAGGCTATTCGATGTGGGGGTTGTGCTGACCCAGGAGCAGGACCTTGCTCTTGGCCTGCCTGCACTCCATGCGTTCCATTCCTGTCCTGGGTCCCATCTCCAGGGCCAAGGGTTGAGCTGCTGCCTGGGGGCTGGGACCCCATCACAAGCGCTGTGCTCTGGGTGCTGAGTTCCAGCCCTGCCCCAGGATCGGACTCCCCCACTGCCATAGGTGCTGCATCCCAACAGCCCCCCCCCTTCCCTCCCCGCAGCCCACACATCGGACTTTGCTGTTCCATGGAAAGAGCCTGGAGGCTCCGTGGCCCTGTCCCTGCCGCAGTGCCTCGAAGGTCACTCCTTCCCCTGCAGCCTCCTCCGAGCCCGAGCTTCCCCTTCGCCTTCTAGGAACCACAGAACCGGAGTGGCCGATAGCAGCTCACACCTCCCTGCCGGGGGTGCCTGCCCCGCACTGGGGCTGTCTCGTCCCCTTGCCCCATGCCAGTGCCCGGTGCCCCGCCGTGGGGAGTGGAGATCCCCTCCCCCATCCCTCAGCCGTGTGGAGGAGCAGGCAGAAGGCTTGTGGGGACAGGAAAGAGGAGGCTGGGGGCTGTGACTTCCTCTGTCCCCACATCCCTGTCCTGGAACAGCATCCCATGGGATAATCCATGCGACCGGAGCAGCCGTGGGAGGGGAGGGAAGGGGTGAGACACCCCGAGTCCCTGCAAGGACCGGTTCCTGCCCTTGGGGACCCATCACAGCCCCACCGGCCAGGGCCTTGCTCCGCAGCAGACCCGCGGGACAGGCGCTGCTGGACCTCGGTGTCCCCTTCCGCGCACTGCAGGCCCTGCTCCCGCCGTGGCTGGGCTGTGGATGCGGCACAGGGCAATGGGCAAACCCTCGCTCCTGGGGTTCCCTGTGCGAGCTGGGACCACCCGGGGCTCCGGCACCAACCCGGTGCCAGCGCTGCCCCCGCGCCCGGCGGCTGCCGGTGCGGACCCGCCCTCACGCCCCGCGATGCCCCGGCAGGCGCCAGCGGCGAGTCCCTGCCGGGGGCTGGGGGCTGAGCGGCCCCGGAGCGGCTCCACCCGGAGCGGGTTTTCTCCTCTTCTGGGAACCGGGGCTGCGGTTTGGCCGCACCTTGGGGAGCCCCGCGGGGTCCTGGCTCCCTATAAACCGGCCGCGTGTGCCCCCGGCCGAGGCTGAGACCCCGGAGCAGTGCACGCCGCGGGAGAGGTGAGAACAGCGCGAGGTGCTGGGGGTGCTGGGGGGTACCGGGGGTACCGGTAATGCTGGAGGTGCTGGAGGCTCTGCCGCTGCAGCCCAAGCTTTTGGGCAGCAGGGAAGGTGCTGCCTGCGGGGAACAATGCAGCCGCTGCTTGTGGGCACCCAGTGGGGCTGCAGTGGGAAGGGTTGGGGTGTTCCATCAGTGGGGCTGTCCCACACTGCACCACTCGCCCGGGGCCGCGGGGTCCTGCTGCCTGCACCCCAGCTCGACCGGCTCCTGCGGTCCGGCTGGCCCCTCCCAGCATGGGGCTGCCCTTCCCTCCTTCCCCGCCGCAGATGCTGATGCTGGTGGGGCTGGTGCTGTGCCTCGCTCCTGCGGACTCCCTGAACGCCTTCCCCCCAAAGTGTGAGTCCTGCCCTGACGGAACGGGGGGGGCTCGGAAGGGAGGCACCGGGGGGGTAGGGTGGGGTGGTGGTGCAGGACCCACACAGCTGAAGTGAGCAGGGAGAACCCACATTCCACATCCCTCTGATGTGGGGCAACACGAGCCTGGGTCGGAGCAGCTCTTCTGGTGTGGGGGGTTAGAGGGGGGGCATGGGAGGTCTGGGGAGTGGGAGCTGCGTGATGGGGCCGGGGGATGGATGTGGGGTGCAGGAGCGGGGGGGGATGGACATGGGGTCATGGGACAGAATGAGGACCATGGAGAAGGATGGCCCTTGACGGACCTCTGACACGGTGTGCCAGGACAAGGGGGCACCAGCCCCATCGTGGCGTGGGGGACGGTCTGCCCCACCAGGGCCCTCCTCGGAGCCCAGGCTCTGCCTCTCCTCTCCAGTTCGGGTGGGGAAGCTGAATGGGGACGTGGTGGTGAAGTGCAACACTGCAGAGCAGAGCGTGACCTGGACGCAGAACGGGGAGCCGGAGCCCATGGCTGAGCTGGTGGCCGAGGGTCAGACCCTCACGATCCTCGGCTTGGACCTGCCGGCCGCGGGCAACTACAGCTGCTGGGCCGGGGGTGTGCTGCTGGACTCCATCTACGTGGTGGTCAGCGGCACCCGTGCGTGCGGCCGGGCTGGGGGGCACGATGGGGGCGATGGGGAATATGGGGTGATGAGTGCGATGGGAGCGATGGGGGTGATGGGGTGATGAGAGCGATGGGGTGATGAGGGCAATGGGGGTGATGGGGATGATGGGGTGATGAGGGCGATGGGGGCGATGGGGTGACGGGGGCTACGGGGCAGGGGGATGCAGGGAGCTGGGGTCAGGCTGGGCACCAGGAGATGCTCGTGGATCGCGAGTGCTGGGCGGGGCACGGGCAGCGCTCCCGGCCCCATGCAGCGCCCGAGCTTCCCTCGGCCCCGCCAGGCGAGGAGGGGATGAACGTGTCCTGCCAGGCTGAGTCCTACCGCGGCTCCTTCCGCTGCTCCTGGGCCGGTCCCCGCTCCGCCGTGTTCCGCGCCCGCCTCACCCTCAGGTGCGTGTCCCAGGGACCCCAGCCACCCCCACGGCCCCTTTGTTCCCCTGCCTCACGTTCCCCCCCTTGCAGCGATGGCTCCCTGGGCGAGTGGGTGCCCGCGTCCCGCCGCCGTGGCCGCTTCAACGCCAGCTTCGTGGACCCCTTCTTCTGCCCCTTCGCCGAGGAGCTGCGCCCGCTGCGGCTGCAGCTGGAGGGGCTCTCGGACACCTCCTACATCAGCTTCTCCAGCCACTTCTTCATCCGCGACATCGGTGAGCAGGGCCACGGGGGGGCACTGGGAGGGGGCCCGGGGGTGGCTGCACCCGGTGCTGAGCCCCGCTGTGCCCGCAGTGCGGCCCGACCCGCCGCAGGAGCTGGCCGTGCAGCGGCGCGGGGAGCATCTCCACCTGGCCTGGGCCCCCCCGGCCTCCTGGCCGCTCCCCCGGTCCTACTTCGCCCTCCTCTACCGGCTGCAGTACGAGCTCCCCAATGGCACCCAGGTAACAGCGGGGGGGGGGCCTGGCCAGCGCATCCCTGCGTGTGGCCCCCGGTGTCCTCGCTTTCCTGTGCCCATTCTGCCCCCGTCCCGTCCTACCCTTTCCCACCCTGCCCATCCCCACTGCAGCCTGGGCTCTTCCTTACACCCGGGGGTGCCGTTAGGAACAGGGACTTGCAGGGGCTCAGCAACGGCCCCCTCCCCACTGCTCTGCTCCTCTCCTTGGGGTGATCAGTTGTCACCCCCGGCTGTCCCCTCTGCTCCCTCCAGCACTGCTCACACCAGGCAGTGGCATCACTGGGGCCGGGCACGTGCCGGTGTCCCCCACCCTGGTGTCGGGGCGCCGGGGCCACATCCTGACCCCTCGCAGGCCGACAAATACGTGGAGGGCGAGGAGGAGACGTGGCTGCGGGACAGTGCTCAGCGGGTGCGCATCAGCTGCCGGGACCCCTACACCAGCCCCGCCTGGAGCCCCTGGAGCCCCTGGCACGGGACCGGGGCAGCCCAGCAGCGCCGGCTGCGAGCACTCTGAGCCCACCGAGGGCAGCCCGAGACCTCGCACCCATCCCCTGCCCCACTGCACCTCCGTGTGCCTGGGGCATGGGGGCACCCCGGGGTGGCAGCAACCAGCACCCATCACCGACCTCCTGGCCGCTTGGAAGAGGGTTTCTGCCTCTATTAAAGACTGGCCTTGGCTTTCCCACCACAAGCCCTGTTGGTCTCTGTGTGGGGTGCTGGGTGCCCCGGCACCATGGCCCAAGCAGGGCTCCTGTGCTCAAGGTGCCCAGGCTGGCCCCTGCTCCATGGGGGTCACAGGCCTGTGCCAGGCCCCCGCTGCCCCACAGCTCCTGGAGGGTTCCTGCTCCCACCAGTGCTGGGCTTGCCCATTGGGTCAGTACCCATGGCTGAAAGCAGGCATGCAACACACGTGTGCACACGTGTACCAGGCCATGTAGGTGGCCATCCCCATCCCTGGCCAGAAAAGATCCCCAGAACCTTGTCCCGCTGGAGCACATGGACACTCTGGACTCCCCCACACCTCATCCCCTTCTACCTCCCCAGATCCTTTCTAGGGGCTGGGGTGGGGCCATGTCCCCAGCCGTAGGGGCAGCCTGTGCTGCCCTATACCAAGAGGGCACGTTTGGGGGGCAGCCCCCCATGCCCATGTCCTGGGGTGCTGGACCCTGCCTGAGCGACAGCCCCAGTGCAGGGTGCTAGGACAGGATGAGGCCATGGTGGGGTGTGTCAGGGTCCACTACCAGCACTGGGGGGCCCTCAGCTCCCACTGGGGCACAGGCCCACTCACCCCATAGGGTGCCCAGCCCGGGGTGAGGGGCTGCAGCCAGGCGGGACGGGGTCAGACCCCACATCCAAGCAGCCCAATGGGACACGGCCGCAGCACCCTCGGACCCAACAGTGCAGGGGGTGCCCGGGGTGCAGCCCCCTCACAGACGGGCCGGCTCCCGGTGATGCCACGGGGCTTTATTGACACGGGCCGGGGCCCCCCAGCCCCGCTGCTGCTCCGGAGAGGCTGGTGAATGTGCGGCCCCGCGGGGGCTGGGGGGCCCAGGGCAAGGGACGGGAGCCCAGGGATCCCGCGGCACGGGGGAGGAGGAGAACGGGGGCTGCGGGGGTCCCGAGAGGTCCCGAGGGGCGAGTGGGGGCTCGGGGGACCCTGAGGTGCAGAAGTCCGGGGTCGGGGGCCCGGGCTCCGGTCACGGCGGCCCCAGCCCGCCCAGACGCAGCTCTTCCCCCTCCAGCATCTCCCTGCAGAGAGACAGGCCCGGGCTGAGCCCCGCGCCCCCCACGACCGCCCTATCCCCCCCCGCCCCGCGTACCGGTACGCGGCGATCTCGGCCTCCAGCGCCATCCGCAGCCGCAGCAGCGCCGGGTACTCCCGCAGGCACCGGAGCATCTCCGCCTCCGCCTCGCTGATCTCCCGCTCCAGCTCCGCCACCCGCTCCTGCATCGGAGCCGTCAGCAGCGCCCGGGAACCCCGGCCCGAGACCCCCCCGCACCCCGACACGACCCGGACCCCGACACGACCCCCGGTCCCAGCCCCCCGGCCCCACAGACCCCAATTCGACCCCCGGACCCCCCCCCCCTCCCCTCGGGACCCCGGACCCTGGTCCCCTCCCCAGCCAGACCCATAAACCCCGGCCCGACCCCAGGCCCCGACCCGATCTCTGCACTCCGCTCTCAGCCCCACTCGACCCCCCCCTCCATGGGATTCCCCAGCCCCATCCCGGCCTCTGCCCCACTGGTACCCTCCCAGCCCCATTTCGCCCCCCCCCCCCCCCCAGCCCTCCGGTGTCCAGGCCCCGCGCCCCAACACCCCCCGTCCCCCCCATACCTGGTACTTGGCGACCTCCCCGCTCCGCCGGTCCCGCAGCCCCTCCAGCCGCCGGTGCAGCGCTCCCACGGCCCCGCGCAGCGCTTCCACCTCGGCCGCGCGGGCTCGCAGCAGCCTCCGGTAACCGGCGGCCTCCGCACGGGCGCGCAGCACCGCCTCCCCGCCGCCCCCCCGCCGGTACCGGGGGCAGCCCTCGGCCGCGCTCATCCCGGCGGTTCTGCGGCGGCGCCGAAACGGTTCCACCCCCGGTAAAACGGGGCCGCGTCACGGACCCGCAGCCAATCCCGGGGCAACCGGCTCCGGTTGGCCGCCTCCTCCCGGTAGCAATGGGGGGGGGGCGGTAGGAGCCTGCCCCCCGCCCGCAGCCCCCGCCGGGGCTCCCACCCGCCCCGTGCAGCGGCTGCAGCACCATGGACAGCGGCGAGGGGAAAGGGGGGGGCAAGGTCAAGTTTAAGGTCAAGGTCATGGCTGTAGCCACCCCCCCCCCCCCCATTCCCCTCCATCATCAACCAAGAGCTGACCCCAGGCGGGGGGTGGGCTCCCGGACAAACTTTGGGGGGGGGGGGGAACAGGGCAGGGGGGGGGTCCCTGGTAAAGGTGGGTGACACTCAGGGGGTCCCCGGGGAAGGGGGGGCTATTTGGTGGAGGAAGGGGGGGGTAGCCCCCAGCAGAGCCCCTGGCTCCCCACAATCAGGCCGTGTGGGGTGAGCGAAGGAGGTCCAAAGTGGGGCTGGTGCGATCCTTGGCCGCCCCGAGTCCATCGCAGGGTGCTGTGAGGGCACGTCCAGACCCAGGGCTGCAAACTGGTGGGTGCAGGGAACCGGGAGCACCCGGGGGTCACAGGCCTGTCCGTCAGTCTGCCCCACTGCTGGGGGCCATGGGCCCGGGTTCAGCATCCAGAGATGCTAAACTCCAACCGGGATAAGGCAAAGGTGTGCAGGTGCTACAGACCCACTGCGGCTGCTGGCAAGGGCAGAGGGGGACCCAGCACTCAGAAAGGGGGGGGTCCCAATCCCTGTGGCATGGGGACTGCAGCTACCCTGGGGGGAGCCGAGTCTGGTCCAGGCACGAGAGCTGCTGATGGGTGGGCAGGAGGTCCTGAGTGGGACCCCCCGAGGAACAGGGGCCTCTGGTGGGGGGGGTTCGAGGCTTGCAGAGGTGGGGGGGGCCCAGCCCTGGGTTCCCCAGGGGGTCCCACAATGGGGATCCAGACAGGCTTGAGTCAAACCACAGCAGCACCTTCCCCAACCGGAGCTGTGGGGTGGTTACAGGGGGGCCATGGTGGGGCTGGGGCTGCCAATGGTTGGGGGTCCGCAAGCAGCAGCCCCATCCCTGCTGCAGGCTGGAGGCACCAGTCTCAGCCCCCTGGCTCCCACCTCCGGTCCTCACACCATGGAGGCCACCCCCGAGACGGACGTCACCTTGTTGTCCTCGGCCCAGGGCTGCAGGTTCTGCAGGGCATAGAGGGAGGAGTTGTGCATGCAGAGCGGGTCCTGGGGCAGTGGCTGGCTCAGGCTCTTCTGGAAGGCCTCTTGCTGGAGGTGCAGCATCAGGCGGTTGGCCTGCTGGCGCTCTGCCTCGCGCTCCTCCGCCGTCTGCCTCCTGCCAGCACACATGGCACATCCGGCACTGCCACAGCCACCACTGCAACCGGTGCTGCAACCACTGCCACAGCCACCATTGTGACTGGTGCTGCAACAGCCACTGCAATCATTGCCACAACCAGCACTGTAACCACTGCCACAGCCACCCGGTGCTGCAACCACAGCCACAGCCACCGTTGCGACCGTTGCTGCAACGGCCACTGCAATCACTGCCACAACCAGCACTGCAACCACTGCCACAGCCACCCGGTGCTGCAACCGGTGCCGCAACCACAGCCACAGCCACCGTTGCAACCGGTGCTGCAACTGCCACTGCAATCACTGCCACAACCAGCGCTGCAAACACTGCCACAACGGCCACTGCAATCACTGCCACAACCACCACTGCAACCACTGCCACAGCCACCCGGTGCTGAAATCGGTGCTCCAACCACTGCCACAGCCACTGCTGCGACTGGTGCTGCAACCACCACTGCAATCACTGTCACAACCGCCACTGCAACCACTGCCACAACCACCACTACAATCACTGTAACAACCGCCACTGCAACCACTGCCACAACCACCACTACAACCACTGCCACAGCCACTGCTGCAACCAGTGCTGCAACCACCACTGCAATCACTGCCACAGCCACCACTGCAACCACTGCCACAGCCACTGCTGCAACCAAGACCGCAATCACTGCCACAACCATCACTGCCACAACCACCACTGCAACCAGTGCTGCAACCACTGCCACCACTGCTCCCACAGCCCAGCTTCCCTCAGCACTGTTCTGTACTATTGTGCCAATGCCCATGGCCTCTGCCCTGCAGCCCTGTTCCTCTCGGCACCCCTGTATGCTGCTGTGGTAATGCCACACAGCCTCCCACCGCAGTGCATCCTGCTGCCGGCACCACTGCGTGCCAGTGTGGCAATGCCCCATAGCCTCTACTGTGCAGCCCATCCCTCCCTTGGCACCACTGTGCATCAATACCCCACAGCCACCTGCCACAGCCCCATCTCCCCCTCGGCAGGGCCGTGCCTCAGCCATGCCCAGGGGATGCAGCAGGGATAGGGACCCGTCCTCCTGCTCACGGTGACTGCAGCGTCTGCTCCGGTGCCCATCCCCGTTACCTCCCCTTGGTGCCCCAGCGCCGTCCCCGTTACCTCCCCTTGGTGCCCCGGCGCCGTCCCCGTTACCTCCACTTGGTGCGCCGGTTCTGGAACCAGGTCTTGACCTGAGCGTCCGTCATCTTCAGGGCCTTGGCCAGGGTGGCGCGCTCGGCCGAGGCCAGGTACTTCTGGCGGTGGAAGCGCTTCTCCAGCTCACAGATCTGCCCGCGGCTGAAGGACGTGCGCGGCTTCTTGCGCTTGGGCGGCGTCCGGTTCTGGTACGGGTGCCCGATGCGGCGGGTGGCGGTGAACGGGGCCAGCGCGGCTGCGGGGAAGCAGCGTGAGAGAGGGGCCCCGGTGCGGAAGCAGCCGGCAGTGGGGGGGATGCTCGGGGCCATGGGGATGGGGAGCTCCGGGGGGAGCCACCGGTGCTGCCGGGCAGGGAGTGGGTGGATGCAAACCCGCGTTGTCTGCACCGGCTCCCCCCGGCCCAGAGATGCTCGGAGCAGCTCCAGATGCGGTGGGAGGACCCCTCCCCATCCCACGACGGTGCGCGATCACTGCCCTGGCCTGGCAGGAGGGCACCGGGGCTGGTGGGACCTGATCCCACAGCCGGTGAGGGGCTGGTGTGGCTCCCGGCAGCACAAACCCACCCTCCTGGGGTGCTGAGCTCTGCCACAGCCCGGGAGGAGACTCCATGGTGCTGCCAGAGCTGCCCAGCCCTGCTGGTGAGGGGTCAGGGCCCCAGAAGCCAGGAGGAGGTGGCCGATGTCTCCAGCCATGTGCCGGCAGTGTCCATCCTGGACACCACCAGCTGCAGGCTACCAGGGGAAGGGGCTGTGTGTGCACGGCCATGGAGTGAGCCGGTGAGGCCATTGTGCCGCATCCCAGCTCCGGTTGCAACCGGAGCCATGGGGAGCACAGGGACAAGAAAGCATCGTGGAGGAAGGTGGGAGCGTGGCGCAGCTCCAGCTCCTGCAGCTCCCGCAGCCCATGGCGAAGCCTTTGCCAGTGTCAGCACCGCATGGGCAGGGCTGCACACGGCCGGGCCATGAGGGCACCATGGGTCCCCATCACGGCACAGGGACATGGGGCAGAGCCCACAGCAGCCCAGGCACCCCCTGAGATGCTCCAAGCAGCAGCGTCGGTGCAGGGGCAGCCACGGTACCCACAGGTGCAGCTGTGCAGCCGGAGGGGCTGGGGCCCCTCGCCGGGAGCAGCCCATGGCCCACCCCATGGCCCCGGTGCCGAGTGATGGCCGCCGGGAGGGGCTGCCTCGTCCACCCACCACGGCGCCAAGGCGGGAGCTGGGGCTGGCGCCTCGTCACTGCCGCCATGACGGGAGGGCCGGGGGGGGAACCGGCTCTGCTGGGGCTGGGCTGGGCCCCCACAGGCTCTGGCTCCTGCCTCGCAGAGCCCCAGAGCCCCCGGCCCCGGCCTTGTCCCACATGGAGCCGTGCGCTGCGGACGTGGCAGCGCCGCCATCTTGGGAAGGAGCTGCGATGAGCCAGAGGAGCCACACCAGAGCTCCCCAGCACCGCATCCACAGCACCACAACCACAGCACCCCATCCATGGCACCCCAACAACGGAACCCCAACCACAGCACCCCAAACACAGCACTCCAACTACAGCAGCTCAACCACACCACTCCAAACACAGCACCCCAACCACGGCCCCCCAGAAATGGCACCACAATCACAGCACCATAACCACAGCATCCCAACCAGGGCACCCAACCACAGTGCCACAACCACAGTGCCACATCCACAGCACCCCAACCACAGGACAACAACTACAGCACGCTAACTATGACACCTCAACCGAGGCACCCCAACCACGGCACCCCAACTGCAGCACCCCAACCATAGCATCAGAATCACGGCATCCCAACAACAGCACTCCAACTACAGCATCCCAACAACTGCACCCCTCTCCTTCCCCTCTGGGGTGCACCAACCAGCACCCTTGCCCCAGCACTGGGTGCTTGGCCCCATCAGTAGCACCGGGACCCCTTCACCACCACCCCAGTGCCTCACCGGCACCCACCAATCCAGCCTCTCCCACAGCACCAGCACCAAGTCCTGTGTCCGTGGCCCCACAGGGACCCTCCGCTGCCCCACAGCGGGTACCCACACCCGAGGAACCTCCCCCCGCACTCCGGCTCTTATCAGCCTCCCGGTGGCCGTAGGACAGGGTCTGCACCGGGTGCTTCCCGGGCCCGGGGAAGCGGCTGGACACGGAGCAGAGCCCGAGGCTGGCGCACGGCGGGACCTCACGGGTCCGCCCGGAGCCACCGGGATCCGCTCTCTCGACGGTGGCCGCGTCCCTTGGGGCGCCCGGTGGAGCGGGGAGGGGCGAGGGGCGAGGACCCCGTGGTGCGGGAACCGCGGAGCGCAAGGGAACCCCGGCCGGTGCCAGCCCCGCGCCGACGGAACCGCCGGAGCCGTCGGGAGCCGTCGATCGCCGCCCGCCGCGCTCACCTGAGAGCCGGTCCTTGGCGATGCGCCGCGTCGTCTCCATCCAGGGGAAGGTGAGCCCCGAGAGCCCCGGCACCGGCGGCGGCGCGGCGGGCGGCGGGGCGGGCGCGGGCCGGTGCGCCGGGACTCGGATGACCCCGGCGGGCGGCGCGGCGGGCGCGGGGGTCACGTTGACGCTCACGTTCATGCTCATGTTGAGGTTGTAGGAGCCGAGCGAGCAGGCGGGGCCGTAACCGCCGCCGTAGAGCCCGTAGTCGGGCTCCGCCGCCCGGGCCGGGCCCGCGGGCTCGGGGCCACCGAGGATCTGGTCGATCCCGAAGCTGATGGGCTCGTGGGGCGGGGGGCCCGGGCCGCCGCCCTCCCGCGCCAGCGCCGCCGCCTCCATGCCCCGGCCGCGCTCAGAGCCGGCGGGGCGCGGGCATGGCCGGGGGGCGGCGGGGGGCGACGGGCGCGGGGCGGCCGGAGCGGGCCCGGGGCAGGGGCCGGGTGCGGGGCAGGGGCCCGGCGGCGCGCGCTTTTCTGCCCCGCTCCATCGGGACCTGCCAAAATCCCGAGCGCCCGCGCCCTGATTGGCGGCCGCGCCCCGTGATTGGCGGAGCCGCGGCCCCGGGGGGCGGGGGCTCGCGCATCCCGGGGGGGGGGGGGGGGCCGCCCCGCCCGCGCCCCCTCCCCCCCGCCGCCCCTCGGGGCTCGCGCACCGGCTCCGCCGTCGTCCCGCGACCGACGGGACGGGACCGTCGGGCCCCGATCGCCCGGAGAAGCGCCCGGTTCCCCACGGTGGGCCCGGCCCCTCCGCGCTCCGGCCGGTTCCAGCCTCCGGAGCAGCCACCGGACAACGAAGGGGGCGGCGCGGAGCCCGGAGGAGAGTCTGCAGCCGCGGCACCGGGAGCAGCGCGGAGCCTCTCCGTGCCCCCGGGAGGATTCGGCGGCGTCGGGAGCCCAGCCCGGCCCCAGGCGTTCTCCCGAGAGCACGGAGCCGTTATCCGGGATCTCGGAGCGCACGGAGCGGCACCGCGCCCGCCGCTCCCGGGGCGCGCAGGCTCCCGATCCCACCGAGCCCCTCCACAGCCGTTCCCGGCGCACGGACCCGGGTTTGCCCCGAGCCGCCGTTCCCACGCCCCGGACCCTCCCGCCGTTCCCCGTAGTAGAGTCCCGCTCTCCCGGTAACACGGATTCTGGTTCCCCCGACCCGTCGCTCCCGGGGCACGGAGTCAGGCAGTACGAACCCTTCTTCCCCCCCACCCGCCGTTGCCGGTAGCGCGGCCCCCGATTCCCACGAACCCACCTTTCCCAGCCCCACCGACCTTTTCCTCCCGGGCCATAGATCCCGCTTTCCCGGGACCCGCCGTTCCCGGTAGCACCGACCCTGTGTCCCACGGACCCCCCGTTCTCTGGTGATGCATCCCGGTACCTCAACCCTCCTTTCTCCCCGGGCGCGGAGCCCGAACCGGCCACATCGGGACGCTCGTACCTGGCTTGCAGGACCGGGCCCGGCTGTGGCCCCACCGCCTGCCCTCTGCACGGGATCAGCCCCGGCTGCGGATCCCGGTAACAGTGACTACCGCAACAGCCGTGCCTTGAGCCATGGGCCCGGCCTGTAGGGTGGCCCCGGGGGTCGGAGCCGACGGTTCCTGGACTGGGGGTCACGGCTCCGGGGCAGTGGGCGGCAGGGGGGTGTGGGCTCCCGGTCACCCTGGCGCCACCGGTCTGGGGCAAATGACATTACCGGGGCCTGCGCCTGTAAATCACAGCGGCACCGGGAGCTGCAGCTGCTGCACCGGGGGCACCGGGTGAGCCAGACCCGCTGCAGTGTGGGGTGACCGACCCTGGGGCATGGGGATACGGGCATGGGGTTGCAGCAGCACCAGCATGAACACTCCCTGCAGAGGGGCACAGCCCTGGCGCACACATATGCATGGCACAGCCCTGGCACACACATGTGCATGGCACGGCTCTGGCACACACATGTGCATGGCGTGGCTCACATGGACACGCTGCACTGCACAGATGTCCATGTGCATGCACACACATCCCCCAGGGCACAGCACAGCTGCGCTGGCACACACAACACCCATGTGCACACACATGTACACACATGTACATGCTCGTTCGCCTCTCCAGGCCCAGGCTGTTCTGCCTGACGCTTGTGCAGTGCCGAGCTGGCCATGCCCACATCCCACCGCATCACTGGGCATCCCACGGTACCACCGGGCATCCCACGGTACCAGGCTTGGAGCTGCCTTTTTCCATGCCGGGGCATTTCACTCCCTGCTGCCCCCAAGGGAGCCCCGAGCCATGTGTGCGGGTCCCGTGAGCCTCACCAGGGATGGGGAAACTGAACCCAGGCCCACGGCACCGGGACCGGGGCTGAGCCCCGGGAGCTTCCCGGCATTTCTTCCTCTTGGCTTAGCAGGTGCCGGGAGAAACCTGCCCCGTGCTCCCGCTGCAGCATTCCCGGCTGGAGAGAGCGGCGGCGAAGGGGCTCACAATGGCCTGGGGTACAGCCGGCTCCGCCACCGGTGTTAGTGTTGGTGCTGGTGTTGGTGGTGCTGTTGGTGCTGCTGGTGCTGGTGCTGGTGCTGGTGTTCGTGGTGTTGGCGGTGCTGTCGGTGCTGCTGGTGCTGGTGTTGGTGCTGGTGTTCGTGGTGTTGGCGGTGCTGTCGGTGCTGGTGCTGTCGGTGCTGTCGGTGCTGGTGTTGGCCCAGGCCCCCAGCGCCCGCCGGGGCCGGGCGGGACCAGGCTCCGGGCGCCGGGAGGAGGCGGCAGCGGGTTAATTAAACCCGGAGCAGAGGCAGATGTTGCCGTGCCCGGGGGCTGGAATGCTGCCGCTCCCGGGAGATGGATTGGGGGCAGGTGACGGCTCCTGCCTGCGCACACCGGCTGTGCCGGGGGGGCTCACCCCTACCCCCCCCCACCCACGGTGCGACCCCGGCACCGGGCACACGGCGGGGAGAGCCCCGAGGGGAGGGCGCTGGTGCTGCGCGTCCCCCCTTCCAGGAACCCCGTTCTCACCTCCTCCTTCCCTCTCTTCTCTTGCCCCCCAAGTACCCCTGCCCCTCGTGTACCCAGAGCGCGGGTCAGGGCAGGTCCCTGCCCCTACCTCCCCCCAGGAGGGAGAGGACTGGGAGGACTGGGAGCACCCAGCGCAGCCGCATAAACCCACTCCTCGTCCCTCAGCCCCAGGGACCTGGTTTGTGTCACCCTCCTGCCCGGGGGGCTGGATCCGGGGGGCACAGGGGACACAACCCCCATGGCAGAGCCGAAAGGAGGGGACAGAGCTCCACGCGTCGGCCACAACACTGCCTGCGGCCACGGGCGGGTACATCGGGGTCCGCAGTGCGGGTCCTGTCCCTGCAGCCACCCCGGGAGCTGCCGGGGCTCCTGCAGCTCCCCGAGCACCGGCCCTCTGGAGCTGCCACCGCAGCAGCGGAGCTTCCCGTCCCCGCGTGCGGCCGTGCCGGTGTCCCTGTACCCGCGGGGCACGGAGCCATCGCCACGGGCCCCTGCGCGGCACCGAGTGACACCGAGCGGCGGGGGCATGGCAGGGCCCCACGTTCCCACCGGCAAGAGGCTGCCGAGCCGCCCGCTCCCGCCCGCATCACCACCACCCCCCCCGTAATCTCATTAGCGCTGGACGTCCCCTTCTTCCTCCCGCTTCCCCCCAAACCCGCTGGCAAACTGTAGGGACAGTCAGCTCCTCTCCGGCTGCTGGGTTAATTCTGGGCTAATTAGATGAAGCCGGCCCAGATTGGATTACTTTGGCCTGCATTTGGTCCTCCAGTCCTTGGCTTGCGGCTCCCGGGGGAGCTGCTGGCGCCTCCTGCCTCAATCAGACACTTCTTAACCGCATGAAACGCTCCCGGTGCCCCCCGCCGCGGGCGCCGGCACCCGCCGGGTGCGTGGGGTGACGTGGGCACCAGCCGGTGGGCTCGTTCCGCACCCACCGCGATGGGGCTGGGATGGGGTGGGATGAGGGTGGGATGGGGCTGGAATGGGTTGGGATGGGGCTGGGATGGGTTGGAATGATGAGATGCTGCCCCATCAGCCAGCCCATGGGCCTCCAGGACCACAGCCGGGTGCCCGGTGGCCATCGGCGGTTGAGGAGGAGCTGGCTGCAATGGGGACGCGCATATGGCTGCAAGGTGACACCAGCCCCGAGCTGCTGCCTCTGAGGGGGTCTGGGCAGCCCCTGCCTTGTGTGTATGAGCCCCGCACAAACCCATCGCCAGCCCGGCTGGCCTGGGGGCAGGGGGGTACAGGCAGAGGTGCCCATGTAGGGAGGTTGTGGTGAGCCCTGTGGGTGGGTGGCACCTGCCATGGGCAGCTCCAATGACACCCAAGGCCTTCAGTGGGGTGATGGCATGGCTACGAGGGTGGGAGATGGAGCGCCGGGTGGGGGGGCTGTGGGAGCTGGGGGCATCCATGGCCATGGATCCCCTTTGGCTTCAGACAGGGATGGGCAGCTCCGGCCCCTGTGCACCGGATCCACGGGCAGGAACCCCGGGATCCTCTCCTGTCCTCCAGCCTCCGTGCCCACGCGTTCCCGTACTCCATCCCCATCCCACCTCCCCCGGGGGTCCTATCCGGGGCTGCCCGTGCTGTTGGGTGCCGGTGGCCGTGGCTGCCGTTGCCGCGGGGCCGTTGACAGGAGCCGTCCCTCAGAACCTCGTTATCAAAGGCCGAGGGCAGGTAATTGGATTCTGCAAATGCGCTCGAGTGCATTAGGCAGGAGTTCAGTCCATAACCACCCCTGGTGCACCGCAGCCCCTGCCCTCACCAGCACTGCAGCAGCAGTCACCACAGCCCCGCAGCCCTGCACCTCCATGGAGCTGCGACCTGGCTTGGGGGGCCAGTGTGGGGCTGGGACTGCAGCCGGCGGACACCAGGATGGGATCCCAGCTCCAGTAGCTCCCGATGCAGGGTTTCAGGGACGGGGTCTGGACTCTGCCGCGGCCCCCCGGTCTCTGCCCGCTGCCCTGCACCCACCGCTGTTCTGAGCGCGCCCGGCCTCAGCCCCAGCCCCGCTGGGCCGCGGTGAGGCTCTGGCCGGGAAGGCCCCTTTTGGCGTTTACCGGCAGCGGCCGCGGAGGCCCCGGCGGGCGGAAATGGAGCCGAATGTGGGAGCTGGGGCCGCTCCGGCATTAATTATTGACGGGGAGATGGAGCCACTGCCGGGCGAGGGCCGGGGCTTGGCGGGGGGGGAGCACGGCCCCGGGGCACCGGCTGCGGCTCCGGGGAGGGCTCCGGCACCGCTGGCGTTGGCCGGAGAGAGGGCACAAGGGGGGAGCACCTGCGGGTGTCCCTGTGGGTGACAGCGCGAGGGGCCCCGCGGCTGCGGGTACAAGGGTGCTCAATGGGGTTTGCACAGGGGCTGGGGAGGGGGCTGTGAGGAGGTCGCTGGTGCTCGGCGGGCAGCACGGTGCGGTGCTGGTGCTCGCTGCGGTGCTGATCCTGGTACCAGTGGGCAATACAGTGCAGTGCTGGTGGTGCCCAGTTCAGGTGGGTGTTGGTGATGGATGTGGAGCAGTGCTGGCGCTCGGTGCAGTGCTTTGCAGGTCCCAGTGGCCAAAGCGGTATGGTGCTGGTGCCGGATGCTCGGTACCAGTGCCTGGTGCCAGTGCTGGGTGCCCGGTGCTGGACACCCAGTACTCGGTACTGGTGCAGGGTGCTGGATACCTAGGGCTGGGTGCCAGTGCTGGGTGCCCGGTGCCGGTGCTCGGGACTGGTGGGGGTGCTGGCAATGAGGCTGCCGCCGTGCCCGGGGACCGCTGGCCCTGCTGTGACCCCGCCGCCCCTCCCCGGAACGGCTCCAGGCAGGACAAGCGGGGCCGGGCCCGCCCCAGGCGCGGGGTCACCGGCCCCGGCTCTCACCCCGCGGCGGGGCCGCACCGGAGGGGCGGGCGGGTTGCCCCGGTCACACCGGGGAGGGCCGGTCCTACCCGCCCCTGCCCGCGGGGCCCGGCACCGGGGAGGGGCCGAGCGCTGCCCTCGGTGGGACCCCCGGGGCTGTGGGTGCAGGGGCGGTACGGGGGCTGGCACCAGGGGGGACACCGAGGCTCGGCCGGTACCAGCTGCACCACACGGGGCCATGGACTGGGCGGCTGGACCGGGGGTGCACTGGTCTGACTGGGACTGGAGGAGCTCAGGTGACGGGGCCGGGGTACGGGGGCTTGAACCAGGAATGAAAGCGGGATCAGGAGCACCGAAACCATGAGGTGCACGCGCAGCGGCTTCTCGGTATCCCCGGGGCTGACGGCGGTACCGGGGCCGATGCCGGTTCACTCGCAGGCGCCGTTCCCGGAGGCACCCGGGCCCCGCACGCTCGGTGACGGGAGCACGGCCGGGTCCCGGGGATGAGAGCCCGGCCAGTGGGAGGGTGGTGCGAGGGGACGTGCCCGGCGGGTCCCGGGGAGCCCCCGGGAGGCAGAGCCCTCCCTCCCGCCCCGGTGGCTGCCGGCGGCCGCTCCCCCCCGCCGCCGCCCCGCCGTCTCCCCAGGCGGCACTTGCCGCTGGGATTGGAGCAATAACCGTTAACGGTAACGAGCCATTACAGCCCCGAGCGGCTTCTGCTTTGCATTAGCGGGCCCGCGCTTCCCCTCCAGAGCCCTGATCCCATCACCCCATTAGCGCGGCTCCAGGCCCCGGCCGCCCGCGCACAGAGCTCCCCCGGGACCCGCATCCCGGCACCGCCCAGGAACCGGCACCCCCTGCACCGGCATCCCGGTACCCGGCGGTACCCCAGGTACGCAGCATCCCGATATTCGCCGCTATCCGCGGCACCCTGCGCTCCCCGGTACCCCTGCACTCTGCACCCCAGTACTCCGGGATCCGCCGGGATCCAGCATCCCAGCACCACCCCGATACCCATCCGAGACCCGGCATCCCGGTACCCCTGGGGACCCCCAGCCCCTCGTCGGGGACCCCGCACCCCCTCACCCCCGTTATCCCTCGTGCCCCCGCAGCCCTGCTCGGGGGGGGGGAGGAGCTGCCCGCACCCCCGGGACCCCGCACTCTGGCGGGGGGGACTCCCGCGGTTCCGAACGGCTCCGGGGCCGAACGGGGGGGGCGGGGTCACGGCCACAGCGCAGGGGGGACCCCGGCACCCCCCGGCGCCCCCCGGCACCCCCCGGAGACCCCCGGCACCCCCCGGCGCCCCCCGGCACCCCCCGGCGCCCCCCACTCCTCTCTCGAGGTGCTTTGCCGCCCCCTGGCGGCGGCCCGCGCACACCACGGCCTTCAGCTTGGCTCTGATTGGCGGAGGCTCCTGTCTGTCAACAGAGCGCGCCCTCCTATTGGCCAGGGGCGGGAGGAGGGAGGGGAACACGCGCTCTGCCCCTCCGCCGCAGCGGGAGCAGGGTCTCGGTTACCGGGGCCTGCCCGGGGCTCGTGCCCCGCCCGCCCCCGGTGCAGGCTCCCCCCGCTGTGCCCCGGGGCCAGCACGGGGTGGGGGGGGTGTTAATGTGAGCGCAGCTCCCGGCGTGCCCCGCGGCGAGCGCGGCTGTCACGGCGCAGAACCCGGAAGTGGTCGCGGGGGCGGAGGGGACGCTCCAAGATGGCGTCGCCTCCTCAGGGGGGCCCGATGGCGATCGCCATGCGGCTGCGGAACCAGCTCCAAGCCGTCTACAAGATGGACCCGCTCCGCAACGAGGCGAGCGGCGGCGACGGGGGGCACCGGGGCGGCGGGAGCGGGGGCACCGCGCCGCGCATGCGCGAGGGGCAGCCGGGGTCCGGGGGCTGCGGGGTCGCGCAGGCGCCGTGAGGGCACACTGCGCATGCGCTGAGCCGGGGGCGGGGCGAGGAGCTGGGGCGGGGCCAAGGTGGTTGAAGCCCCGCCTTGGAGGGACCGTGGGGTCTGCGCTGTGGGGAGCTGTGGGGCTGGGCAGGAGCTCAATGGGGCTGGGCTGGAGCTCAGTGGGGCTGAGCAGGAGCTCAGTGGGGCTGGGCAGGAGTTCAGTGGGGCTGAGCAGGAGCTCAGTGGGGCTGTGCAGGAGTTCAGTGGGGCTGAGCAGGAGCTCAGTGGGACTCAGTGGGGCTCGGCTGTGTGGGTCAGGGAGCTGCACCCGGGTGTTCACCCCAGGACTGCCCCCCCGCCCCATCGCGGTGGTAGCTCCACTGTGGGTCCTGAGGCTGAGCCGTGGGGTGAGCCCAGGGCTGAGCTGGAGCATGGGGTGAGGCTGAGCTCAGGGGCTGCTGCCCCGCAGCCCGGGGGGGCCCCCCCATCCGCACTAGGGAGAGCTGCCATGGCTCCATGTGCCTTGCAGGGCTGTCCCTGGGGGCTGCCACTGAGCATGGAGCAGGAACAGGCTCTGTGGGGCAGGCAGGGGCTCTATGGGGCAAGCAGGGGTTAGTGACAGTGACAGCCCCTGCAGGAGGAGGTGAAGGTGAAGATGAAGGAGCTGAACGAGCACATCGTGTGCTGCCTCTGCGCCGGGTACTTCATCGACGCCACGACCATCACCGAGTGCCTGCACACGTGTGAGTCAGGGGTCCCCCACAGGACAGCCTCCCCCCCCCGTGCCCCACTGACGCCCCCCAGAGCCACACTGAGCCCCGTGCCCCCCACGCAGTCTGCAAGAGCTGCATCGTCAAGTACCTGCAGACCAGCAAGTACTGCCCCATGTGCAACACCAAGATCCACGAGACGCAGCCGCTGCTCAACCTGAAGCTGGACCGGGTCATGCAGGACATTGTCTACAAGCTGGTGCCCGGCCTGCAGGAGAGTGCGTGAGGAGGGGGGCACAGGATGGCTCGGGAGGGGGTCTGTCTGTGGGTCGGGGGCTTCAACCGGCTCCTGCCACAGCCATGGTGGCTCCTGGAGCTGTGTGGGGAGCGTGGGGACGAGGAGTGGGGATTGTGCTGTGGGAATGGGGTGTAGGTGGGACAGGGATGGGGCTGGAAGGGTTGGGGGGGGCGCAGCAAACAATGTGGGACCTTGTGCCCTGCCCCACAGCAGTGATGGGGCTCCCAACCCATGGGGGGGCCCCATAGAGAACCCCAGGGTGTGGAGAGACCTCTGGGCTCCCCCCCAGGCAAGTCTGTAGGGGGAACATGGGCCGGGGGTCCCTGCACAGCGCCCGCCTCTCCTGCAGGTGAAGAGAAGAGGATCCGGGAGTTCTACCAGTCCCGGGGGCTGGACCGGGTGTCCCAGCCCTGCACTGAGGGTACGGGGGGGGCACCGGGTGTCCCAGCCCTGCACTGAGGGTACGTGGGGGCACCGGGCATGGGCTGACCCCGGGCCCTCCCGTCTCTGCCCCCAGACCCGGTGGGGGGCGACCCCATGGGGCTGCCCTATAGCACGTTCGACCACTCGCGGGCGCACTACTTCCGGTACGACGAGCACGTCTCGCTCTGTCTGGAGAAGCAGAGGTGAGGGGGCACCGAGGGGAGCACCGGGCACGGCCCTGGGGGGCAGCAGTGGGGCAGCACCGGGCACGGCTGTGGCCATGGCCATGGTGGGGTGGGGGTCCTGAAGGGGTCCCACTGACCCCTGCCACCGGGTACCCCCTGCAGCCCCCTCCTCTTCTCTTCCTCTGCAGCTCCAGCAAGGACAAGAGCAAGGCCGTGCTGCAGGTGAGTTGGGGGCTGAGCCCCACAGCAGTGCCTCCTCCCGGGGGGGCGGGGCGGGGCTGGGACCTCAGCACCCCCCACTGAGCCCCACTGTGCCCCACAGCACAAGTACGTGAGGTGCTCGGTGCGGGCACAGATCCGGCACCTGCGGAGGGTCCTGTGCCACCGGCTGGGGCTGCCCCTACAGCACGTGAGTGCGGGCACTGGGGGGTGGGCCATGACCCGGGGGGGGGGGGCACAGGGTTGGTGGTCTTGGGTCCCGGTTTCGAGGTTTCAGAGCCCAGGGTGGAGGTCCCCAGCCCTGGGTTGGGGGTCCCAGGTTGGGGGCCATGGGCCTTGTGGGGGGCGCTCCCAGCTCTTCGGGTGGGGTATCCTGGGCTCCAGGCCGGGTGTTCTGGGCCTGGATGGGGGTCGCGGTTTGGGGGTCCGGCCCCCCCCAGCCTCCCTGTCCGTAGGTGCAGATCCTGTTCGAGAACACGGCGCTGCCCGACCACATGACCATGAAGCAGCTCTGGCTCTCGCACTGGTTCGGCAAGGTGGGAGCGGGGGGGCTCCGTGAATCGGTGCCGAGCGTCGCTCACGGCAGCAGCGGGCTGGGACAGGGACGTGTCCCATGGGGGTCCTTGGGCCCCCCGGCTCAGGCCCCCCCTGAACTCCCCTTTTTGCCTTGCAGCCCGCACCCCTCCTGCTGCACTACAGCATCAAGGACAAGAGGAGGTAGGGGCTGGGGACACGGCCCCGTGCTGCTCACCCCTGTGCACCCCCCCCGCACCCCACAGCACCCCCTAATTTAACAGCCCTCATTCGAGTCTATTTTTGGAATAAAACTGTGGAAAATCCCCCCCTTGTCCCTGCTCCGATGGGGGGGGGAACGGGGGGCCACTCTTGGGGGGCAGCAGGGACCCCTGCTGAGCCTCCCCGCACCTCTGGGAGCTGCTGCTGAGCCATGGGGTGCACTATGGGGGTGCTGGGGTGCAGATGCAGCAGTGGGGGGGGGGAGCTGTTCTGGGGGCTCGGGGGGGTGCAGACCCTCCCCTCTCCCCACACCCGCTGCAGGCACATCTTCCTCATCACGGTCCCATCACAGGTCCCGGCCCCCCCCCGGAGATGCCCCCCCCCCCCCCCTCGGCTGCTCAGCGCGTCCCCAGTGAGCCGCTAATTGCGGCCAGCACCGCACCAGCTGGACCGCGGCAGCTGCCGGGGGGGGGGGGAAAGACCGATGTGGGGGTCCTCCCCCCGGCCCTCGGTGTGGGGCGGGTCCCGCTCCCGGAGCCGGTGCCAGTGGCTGAGCCATGGAGCAGGGAAAGGGGGACACCGGCGGTGTGGGGGGGAAGCACCTCCATGTCCCCCAGCCCCGGTTGCAAGGGCCGTGCCCCTCCGGGTCCCCTCGCCTGGGGACACAGGAGCCATGCAGCGGGGCTGACCCCGGGACCCCCGCGCCGGTGCCGCCGGTGGCGGATCCGGTTACCCCAGCTGTCGGCCATCCCTCACCGCACCCGGAGCCCCGCGAAGCTCCGTGCGGAAACCCGGGGTCCCGGCGAAGGGGGTGCAGGGGACGCTGTGACCCCCCCTCAGCCCCATGAGCACCCCACGGCCGGGGGCTGGCTCCTAGTGCTGGGTCCCACCAGGCAGCCCTGAGTGTGGGGCCCTTCGGCGCCCATCGGCACGCATCGGCCCCCCGTGTGTCCCAAGCACCCACCGGAGCCCCTGGGGTTGCGGGGTGGGAGTGCGGGCTCCCAGGCTGCTGGACAGCCGGAGGAATGGATGGAGGGAGGGAGGGAGGGATGGAAGGAGGGAGGGAGGAACGGAGAGGGAGATGGAGGGAGGGAGGAACGGAGAGGGAGATGGAGGGAGGGAGGATGTCAGGATGCGGGGGTCACGAGGGGGCCGTCACCCCCATGTCTTTCAGCAGCGGCTCTGGCAGCCGGTTCCAGACGGCGGAGCAGGAAGCGGGAGCGGGGCCGGGAGCCCCCCGGGCCCCCCCAGCCCTGCGCCCCAGTCACTTATCAGCGCCGGCCCCTAATTCAAACCAACTGCGGGGCTGACGTTGGCAAATGAGCCCCCGACGGGGCGGGCTCGGGGGGGCCGGGGGCAGCCCCCGGGTGCGGGGGAGCGGGAGGAGATAGGGGGTTCAGAGGGGAACGGGGGGCGCGGAGGAGGCCCAGGCAGCCGTGGGCAGCGGGTTCACAGGGGGTGCCCGGGGGCAGGAGGAGCTCAGGGAGTGCAGGATGCTCTTGGGGGATTCAGGATGCTCTTGGGGGATTCAGGATGCTCTTGGGTGGTGCAGGATGGTCTCGGGGGATGCAGGATGGTCTCGGGGGGTGCAGGATAGTCTAGGGGTTGCAGGGTGGTCTCAGAGGGTGCACAATGAGCACAGGGGTACAGGATGCTCTTTGGGGTGCCGCATCCCCCAGTCCCGGGTCCTGGTGCAGGCTGAGGCTGTGGCAGTGCAGGGAGCACGGGGCACGGTGCTGGCACCGGCCTTGCCAAAGGGGGAACGGGGCCGCAGGACGGTGCTGAGCCCCCCCCGGCTGCTTCGTCTCTGCCACGCTCCGGTGGCACCGGCTTCCGCCTTCTCCTGACAGAGACAAATGAGAGGCCGGCGCCTGCCCCCCCTTCACAGCCCATTGCCGGGGTGACGGGGCAGCGCGGGGGGTGGGGGGGTCCCACTGTGGGGTCCCCTCTCTGGGGTCCCCACTGCCCGGCACCACCGCGTCTTGGAGCGGCACAGCGGGAGCTGCCACTGCCATGGGGCAGGGCTGGAGGGGCCTCCCCCTCCGCAGGCACCCCGGGGCACCCACCGGGCTCCAGCCTCCGCTGCGCACCGGGGCAGAGGCGCCGCACACGCGGTGTTGCGGGAAGGAGCTGTCACATCGCGGCGGGGACATCGCCCCGGGCGGAGCGCGCCGGGACGCGGCGAATGAGAAAATCCCGACTCCATTTCGTCCCTGTCACCGCTGTCGGTCTCCAACCGCCGCCGGCGCCTGACGAGCCCCCGGCACCCACCGGGCCCCGCGCCACCGGCACCGGCTTCCTGCCGCCTTCCCGCGGATGTGGGCACCGGCGCTGGCACCGGTGGGAATGGGGCAACCTTCCTGCGGATGGTCCGGTCCCGCGGGACGTGGCCAGTGGAGCCTGGGAAAGCCGCGCCGGACACAGCGAGCGCAGTGACCCCGCATCCCCCCGGCGCTCCCCATGCCAGGGACAGGGGCCCATGGAGAGCTGGGAGCGCCCAGGCTGGCGATGGAGCAGCCCTGGCACCCGGCCCTGCCCTCGGCACCAGCGCCCAGCCCTGCCCCTGCCCCTGCCCGCGGGACGGGAGCGCGGGGCTCCGGTGCCGTGGGAGCGGGGCGGGAGGGCTCCCGCCAGCCCTCCCAGGTTTATCTTGGCCGCCGGCGTTTCCTCCGGCCCTTTGTGTGCGCGCCTGCGGCCGCCCCCGTCCCCCCCCGGCCTTCCTGCGTGTGCCCGGCACCGGGAATGCTCCGCCGGGAGCCCGGCCCCCCCGTGCGCAACACGCCTGGGACCACGGCGGAGGGGGATGGACGCCGGCTGTGGGCATAGGATGTGCATGGGATGTGCATGGGATGTGGGCATGGGATGTGTGCGTGGGATGTGTGCGTGGGATGTGTGCGTGGGATGTGTGCGTGGGATGTGTGCGTGGGATGTGTGCGTGGGATGTGTGCGTGGGATGTGTGCGTGGGATGGGCATGGGATGTGGGCATGGGATGTGTGCGTGGGATGTGTGCGTGGAATGTGTGCATGGGATGGGCATGGGATGTGTGCGTGGGATGGGCATGGGGTGTGTGCATGGGATGTGTGCGTGGGATGTACATGGGACGTGTGCATGGGATGTGTGTGTGGGATGTGTGCATGGGATGTGCATGGGATGTGTGCATGGGATGTGCATGGATTGCATGTGCGGGATGTGTGCGTGGGATGTGCATGGGATGTGTGCATGGGAAACTGCATGGGATGCGTGTGTGGGATGTGCATGGGATGTTCATGGGATGTGCGCATGGGATGTGTGTGTGGGAAACTGCATGGGATGCATGTGTGGGATGTGTGCGTGGGATGTGTGCGTGGGACGTGTGCGTGGGATGTGTGCGTGGGATGTGTGCGTGGGATGTGTGCATGGGATGTGTGCGTGGGATGTGCATGGGTTGCATGTGTGGGAGGTGTGCGTGGGATGTGCATGGGATGTGTGCGTGGGAAACTGCATGGGATGCGTGTGTGGAATGTGTGCATGGGATGTGTGCGTGGGATGTGCATGGGATGCATGTGTGGGATGTGTGCATGGGATGTTCATGGGATGTGTGCGTGGGATGTGTGCATGGGATGTGTGCATGGGGTGTGCATGGGATGCATGTGTGGGATGTGTGCATGGGATGTGTGCATGGGATGTGCATGGGATGCATGTGTGGGATGTGTGCGTGGGATGTGTGCGTGGGATGTGTGCATGGGATGTGTGCGTGGGAATGTGCGCATGGGATGTGCGTGGGATGTGTGCATGGGATGTGCACATGGAATGTGCGCGTGGGATGTGCATGAGATGTGCACGGGATGTGCACATGGGATGTGTGCATAGGATGTGCACGAGATACGTGCATTGGATGTGTGCATAGGATGTGTGCGTGGTATGTGTGCATAGGATGTGCATGAGATGTGCACGGGATGTGCACATGGGATGTGTGCATAGGATGTGCACGAGATACGTGCATGGGATGTGTGCATGGGATGTGTGCGTGGGATGCGTGCATGGGATATGCATGAGATGTGCATGAGATGTGTGCATAGGATGTGCATGAGATGTGCATGGGATGTGCGCATGGGATGCACATGGAATGCACATGTGGAGTGCACGGGTTGCAGGAGTCGGGTGCTCTCAGAGCGTCCACCATGGGGTGGGTTCCGTGGAGCGGGTTCCATGGGGTGGGTGCCGTGGTATGGGTGCTCCAGCCCCCCTATTGTTGCTGCCTTTGAAGTCGGGCCATTTCCTGCCCCGGTTTTATGGCTCGACCCGTCTGCGCCGCCGCTTCCCGGCCATAAATCACCGGCGCTGGAGGCTGAGGCGCCCGCGGCCACGGTGAGGGGCAGCGGCCGGACCATCACCAGGGACCTGCCGGGTCAGAAGGATCCCGGGGCCGGTCCCCAGATGGGTGCTGGACTCCGCAGGGTCCTGCCCGGTCCCCAGTGCGTTTCCGCTGCTCTCCCGCCGCCGCGGGCTCCGCACATCGGCCACCTTCGCTATTCCGAGCGTTTCCTGGGGTTTATTGTCTTCCCCTCCTTGTCCCACCTTCCTCGCAGGAAGCGCTCGCTCCCGGTGGAGCCGGCTCCGGGCCCGGCAGGACGAGCTCCCGGCCCACGCTCCGCCGCGCCGCCGGCGTCCCCGCTGCCAGCCGGTGCTCCCCCCGCTGGGACAGAGCAGCGGGACCACGCCGGACTCCTGCAGCCCTGCCAGGGCATCGCCGGGCTCAACCCCAGCACGGGGGTCCCGGCTGCACCTCGCACACCCGGGGCCGGCTCTGCAGCGGCCGTGCTGGCATTGATGCCATTCCCATTGTACCGGCGTCAATGCCATTCCCATTGTGCCAGTGCCGATGCCATTCCCATTGTACCGGCGTCAGTGCCGGAATCAGGGTGTGCTGGGACCCGACTGCACCCGCAGCCAGGGATGGGAGCCGGCGTGTCCCTGGAGCCCCATTCCCAGCGGGAAGGGCGATGGAGGCTCCTCTGCCCGTCCCTCCGTCACTAAGTCAATGGGAGCGTTATTGAAACGCGTCTTCCCCGTCTGGCGGCTCATAGCTCGTGAGGCCCAGGCACAGCAGCACCGGACCCGCGG